GATGTAATACCTTAGAAGGGACCAAGGAGAAGCTGTTTTTAGTCTGGACAGGAGCTCTATGGTATTCAAAGATCTGAACCCTAGAGTCAAATTGGGGCTAGTGTTTGGGCATGTTACATATATTTTGTTAGGGTCATGCCTGGAGGCCCAACATTGCCTGTTCTCTTCACTTCAAAAAAAACCAGATGAAGTCTTCCGTATGAGTAAAATTGTTCAGAAAGAACACTGTCTTACTTAGTGGCATCTATCTCAAGGGGATGGATGCTTAGATATATGTAAATTTTGTACTTGGCTGACTCAGTGTTTTTTCATTTTTATTTTTTTCTCTTTGTTCATAGATTTCATTTTAGGGACAACTTCATTTTTCAGGCCCATATGTTAAATAGTGCTTAATTCTAATGAACCAGGCAAATCACTAATGTTATGTTAGGACTCACTGTACACTATAAGCCACATAAAAATATATTCAAGTAATTATATCAAAGCCTTTATACAGTTATTTTCATGTAAGAAAAACAGGAAACATTTTAATAAAATATTCTAGTTGACCTTTCTTTTCAGGTAAAGTAAATTTGAAAAAACAAAAGCAAAAAGAGGAGAGGTTTTGAAATGCTTAGATTATGTTTTTTGTCTCTCCATCATTTTCTTATTAATAGTGCATCCTCATCTACTTTTAACCTTTGCAAATATAACCATAGTTTTCCAGGCTCATTATATACCTTTATAGTAGTACATAATTGGATATACCTTTCGAGTTCTTTAAAATGGCACTAACAACCCCCTTTAATAGTCTAAATTTGTTTATACATAATATAGAATCCTCTTATTTTCCAAGCATATATTATGAATTAAACTTTTCTGATATCTTAAAATACAATTTACCAGAAATTACACAGGCTAGAGTCAGAGAAAAAGGACATATCTTCTAGTGATTACTAATATTATTATTATTATTGAAAAAAGAAAGGAAGAAAAAGAAAGAAAAGAAGAAAGAAGAAAGAAAGAAAGAAAAAGAATGAAAGAGAGAAAGAAAGATGAAGAGAAAGAGGGGGAGAGAATGGGAATCTTGCTCTATTGCCCAAGCTAGAATGCAGTCTAAAAATGGGTATTAAAATCCTCTTTTATGCCAGTAAGTGTGCTTAACAATGGAGATGGGAAGGAATAAGGGAGGAAAATAACAAACAAGCAGCCAACCAATATTTTATTTAAACCTGTGAAATGCTATGTAATTGCCAAGGAGTGATTTACTTCCAATTATGTGGTCACTTTTAGAATAGGTGTGATGTGACACTGGGAAAAATGTATGTTTTGTGGATTTGGGGTGGAGAATTATGTAAATAATTATTAAGTTTACTTGTTGCAGGTCTGAGTTCAAGTCTTGGATATCCTTGTTAGTTTTCTGTCTCGATCTGTCTAATATTGATAATATAGTGTTAAAGTCTCCCACTATTATTGTGTGGGAGTCTAAGTCTCTTTGTAAGTCATTAAGAACTTGCTTTATGTATCTTGGTGCTCCTGTATTGGGTACATATATATTTATGATCGTTAGGTCTTCTTGTTACATTGATTCTTTTACCATTATGTAATGTGCTTCTTTGTCTCTTTCGGTCTTTGCGGCTTTAAAGTCTACTTTATCAGAGATGAGAATTGCACCTCCTGCTTTTTTTCTTTTTTCTCTCCATTTGGTTAGTAAATCTTCCTCCATCCTTTTGTTTTGAGTCTTTGGGTATCCTTGCATATGAGATGGGTCTGGATGCAGAATACTGATGGGTTTTGGCTTTTGCCCCAATTTGCCTGTCTGTGCCTTTTGATTGCGGCATTTAGTCCATTTAAATTTAGGATTGATATTGATATATGTGAGTTTAATACTGCCTTTTAATGCTAGCTGGTTGTTTTGCCCATTAGTTAATGTAGATTCTTCATTATGGTGATACTCTTTACTCTTGGTATGTTTTTGGAATGGCTGATACTGGTTGTTTCTTTCCATGTGTAACACTTCTTTCAGAAGCTCTTGTAAAGCAGGCCTGGTGGTGATGAAATCTCTGAGTACTTGCTTGTTCACAAAAAATTTTATTTTTCCTTCACTTATGAAGCTTAGTTTGGCTGGATATGAAATTCTGGGTTGAAAGTTCTTTTCTTTAAGGATGTTGAATATCGGCCCCCACTGTCTTCTGGCTTGTAGAGTTTCTGCTGAGAGATCTGCTGTGAGTCTGATAGGCTTCCCTTTGTGGGTAACTTGACCTTTCTCTCTGGCTGCCCTTAGTATTTTCTCCTTCATTTCAATGCTGGCAAACCTAACGATTATGTGCCTTGGGGTTGCTCTTCTTGAGGAATATCTTTGTGGTGTTTTCTGTATTACCTGCAGTTGAGTATTATCCTGCCTTGCTAGGTTGGGAAAGTTTTCCTGGATAATACCCTGAAGAATATTTTCCAACTTGGATTCATTCTCTTCATCACATTCAGGTACATGTAAAAAACATGCATTAGGTCTTTCACATAGTCCTATATTGCTTGGAGACTTTGCTCATTCCTTTTTAACCTTTTTTCTCTAACCTTGTCTTCTCATTTTATTTCATTAAGTTGGTCTTCGGGCCTGGCGTGGTGGCTCAAGCCTGTAATCCCAGCACTTTGGGAGGCCGAGGCGGGTGGATCAAGAGGTCATGAGATCGAGACCATCCTGGTCAAAATGGTGAAACCCCGTCTCTACTAAAGATACAAAAAATTAGCTGGGTATGGTGGCACGTGCCTATAATCCCAGCTACTTGGAAGGCTGAGGCAGGAGAATTGCCTGAACCCAGGAGGCAGAGGCTGCAGTGAGCCGAGATCGCGCCATTGCACTCCAGCCTGGGTAACAAGAGCGAAACTCCGTCTCTTAAAAAAAAAAAAAAAAAAAAAAAAAAGTTGGTCTTTGACCTCTGATATCCTTTCTTCTGCTTGATCAATTAGACTGTTAAAACTTGTGCATATTTTGCGTTCTTGTATTGTGTTTTTCAGCTCCATTAATTCACTTATATTCCTCTCTAAATTGTCTATTCTCGTTAGCATTTCATCAAACCTTTTTTCAAGGTTCTTAGTTCCTCATGAGCAGCACCTGGGAGTGGGTCTTCTAGTGATTATTTTTATGCTTTGAAAAAAATTAAACAAATTGCCTATTCATATATAAGATTATATTTAGATTACTCTCATACAATCTCTATATAACCAAAGAACTAAATAAATATTGGTTTTACTGTAGTATAGTTTGAAGTCAGGTAGCATGATACCTCCAGCTTTGTTCTTTTCGCATAGGATTGTCTTGGCTATGCAGGTTCTCTTGGTTCCATATGAAGTTTTCCAAGGTGGTTTTTTCCAGTTCTGTGAAGAAGGTCATTGGTAGCTTAATGGCAATAGCATTGAATCTTTAAATTACTTTGGACAGTATGGCCATCTTCACAGTGCTCTTTAAGTGGCTAATTTGAAGGATAAAATAATTTATTTAATACATTGTCACATCATCCAAAACACGAGTCTAATATAAATTATAATTAACATATTTGCAAATGTTGTTTCTGTATTTTATAGTCTTTTCTTACAAGACATGATCCCCAAAATTTCTAGTGATGACAATTATTTCTCAACATGTAGGTAAAAGTGAAGAGTAAGTAAATCCATCAAGTAAAAATGAAATTCAGACTTTCAAGAGTTCACTGCTCAAAACAGTTTACCAGTCATGTTGAGAAATTTAATCTTCCAAGTAGACGTTTCTGTAAGTAGACTACTAACTTAGCTTTCTTTTTTCTTTTTCTGCTCATACTAGTTAGTATGGAAGGAGAAACCTTCAAGCAAGTCGAATACAATTCAAATCAAATCTAATCTTGGAAAGTTACAAACCTTGGACCTCTAACAGTTTTGACATATTTTTGGCTGCAGAAAAATCTATTTAGGCATCTGTTAATGCAGAAGGTCATAAGTTGTAAACAATTTACACAGTACTTTATGTATTTTGGTATAACTCTGGAAATTAAAATCTAATCATTCTTAGTGCTAAATGACTCAAACAAATAAAATATTTGCATGAATGGCTGGAAGTAGAAAGCAGTATTCTCTTTAAGTGAACCAGTCATCAATCCAGGTTATCCCATGTTATTGAATGCTCTGTAGTCTCAGATACATGCTCACAGAGATGAGAGCCCATGTTTATCAAACATGAATAAAACGACATTGGTTCAGCTTGGTCATTTGTTATGGACTAGACTGTGTTCTCCTTCACCCTCAAAATTTAAATGTTGAAACAGAACTCCCTATGTGGCAGTATTTGGAGATGGGGATTTTGGAAGATAATTAGACTTAGATGAGTTTAGATGAGGTCATGGTACCTCATGACAGGATTAGTGCCAACATAAGAAATAATACCAGGGCACTTGCTGTCTTTCTTTCTCTGCCACATGAGGAAACAGAAAGAAGGCAGCTGACTACAAGCTGGGAAGAAAGCCCTCACCAGAACTCTATCATGCTGGGATGCTGATCTTGGACTTTCCAGCCTCCAGAAGTGTTAGAAATAAATTTTCACTGTTGAAGCCTCCCAGTCTGTAGTATTTTGTTATGGCAACCTGAGCAGACTAATACATCATTTCTTTCAAATTTTATGGTGAGAAATAATTTTAATTATAAATTTCACCTTGATTCAAGAAATGAAATTGCAGGACTCTGGGAGTTTTTATTTGCTCACATCTCCATACCTGTTTGTAGGTTAGTCTAACAGGAATAACTAACTCAAAACAAGTCTCTCTGCCTAGTTCAGTTTATTCATCTGGATACAGGGCATATATGTGATGGAACTAAACTCTAATACTCATAAACTTCTTTCACTGCAATTTTATGTACATATAAATAAAATGATGTTTTTATTTTGTTCTCAAATACTGATAACTGCTTTAATTTTTTACAGAGTAAGAAAGTGAAATGAATAATAATACCCTGTTTATATCACTAAATATGAAATGTATCTCTGTATGTTACAGGAAAGGATTATGCTTTTTGGAGGAAACTTAGATAAAACATAACAGTTACTACTTTTGTAAAAAAAAAATAAGCTGGCAATTTAGGTAAGTACCTGGTTTACAAAATATAAACTGAGATCAGTTAGCTTCATCAGAAACTTACTAGGTGTCTACTATTTGTAGTGCAGTGGATTAAATATAATTATTGCCTGTTTTATGCTGCTTGAATTTCATGTATGACTTGATATTTTTCAGAAATATTGATAGGTTATGTATAGGGTTTTTGTTTGTGTTTTAGCATAAGTTTGAAAGAAATCAGAAATGATCAAAACTGGTATTTTTTTTGAAAGTGAAATATTGTAAAGTCATTTTTGTAATTATTTTAGATAATCTAAACAAAGATAATAGATTATTTCAAATATTGTTACTAATATTTATGGTACAAAAATTGTCTTATATTGTTAACAATGGTGAAAAAGAACAGGTAGCTTTCAAAAATATTTAAGTTTTCCAGCCAAATATATATTATTATTTTTTTTAAGTAACCACACCAATAAATCATATTAAAGTGGATAATCTGGAAAATCCTCAAGTCTTGTACAAAAGTTGTGTGAGAGCTACATTTTTCCCATGAAAATTATATTATTCATGGTGTTTGTTTTTTGGAACTTCCCTGAAATCTTATATAATTTATCATTTTTATATTATTTATACTCTAGACCAGTACTATCCAAAATAACTTTCTGTAATGGTGGAAATATCTCCATATCTCCATTGTTCATTGTGGTAATCACTAGACACATGTGGCCACTGAGTACTTAAAATGTGGCTGCTATGACTGAAGAAATGAATTTATGATGTGCTTAATTAGTTAAAATTTAAATGCAAAAATTGTAGTCGTGAGGGAATGTATTTTCTTTCTGGGCCCACAATGGGGATAGTTTCAAAGGCAAGAACTTCCCAGTGCCATACTCCAACCCATGTCTCCATCTGGGAGACTAAAGGTCTTCGTATGACTTTTGCAGACAGAAAAAAAATCAAAAGTCAATCACTCCACCTGATGTTTAAAGGAACTCCTTTTATAGGACAAAAAGTTTGAATGGGGCGGGAATACCTCCCAGTTTAAAAGTCCCTTTCTAGGAGGAACGATCCAAGATGGCTGATCGCTAACATCTCAGGATTGTAGCTCTCAGTGAAAGTGCAGAGAACTAGAGGACACCATACTTTCAGACAAATTCTGGTCACTCGTGGAGCAGAAGATCCCCAGTGGAGGAGTCACACTGGTCACCAGTGCGACTCTTGTGACTGACTCAGTGATTTTGCTGGCACCTAGGTGCAGCAGGTCTCTGAGCAGAGTAAACAGGGCTGGCTCCCCTTGTGACCGAGGTTTGGAGCCCCGGGAAGGCAGAGTCGCCTATTACAGACACAGGAAGGAAGCCAGACAGGAGAATCCTGGGCAGAAAAGCACCATCAGTCTTAACGCTGCTGTTCTGTCCCTGGGAACTAACAACTTGGACATCCACTCAAGAGACCTAATCTGAAAGTTGGTAATTTCAAAGATGACAGGAGGATAAATTTACAATGATGGGAAGAAACCAGTGTAAAAAGGCTGAGAATACTCAAAGTCGGAACGCCTCTCCCTCTAAAGATGATCACAGTTCCACATAAACAATGGAACAAGGCTTGATGGAGAATGAGCGCATCCCAATAACAGAATCATACTTCAGGGAATGGATAATAAGAAACTTCTGTGAGTTAAAAGAACATGTTATAGCCCAACGTAAATAAACTAAGGGCTTTGAAAAAAGGTTTGATGAAATTCTATTGAGAATAGACAACTTAGAGAGGAATATAAGTGAATTAATGAAACTGAAGAATACAATACAGGAACCAAGAAGTATGCACAGGTTTAAACACTTGAATTGTTCAAGCAGAAGAAAGGATATCAGAGGTCAAAGTCCAACTTAATGAAATAAAACAAGAAGACAAGATTAGAGAATTAAGGATAAAAAGAAATGAGCAAAGTCTCCAAGAAATGTGGGACTATGTGAAAAGACCAAATTTACGTTTGATAGGTGTACCTGAATGCGACGGAGAGAATGAATCCAAGCTGGAAAATACCCTTCACGATATTATTCAGGAAAAATTTCCTAAACTAGCAAAGCAGGTCAATATTCAACCCCAGGTAATACAGAGAACACCACAAAGATATTCCTCAAGAAGAGCAACCCCAAGGCACATAATCGTTAGATTCACCAGGGTTGAAACGAAGGAGAAAATACTAAGGGCAGCCAGAGAGAAAGGTCAGGTTACCCACAAAGGCAAGCCTATCAGACTCACAGCGGATCTCTCAGCAGAAACTCTACAAGCCAGAATAGCGTGGGGGCCAATATTCAACATCCTCAAAGAACAGAACATTCAGCCCAGAATTTTATATCCAGCCAAACTAAGCTTCACGACTGAAGGAAAAATAAAATCTTTTATGAACAAGCAAGTACTCAGAGATTTTATTACCACCAGGCCTGCTTTGCAAGAGCTTCTGAAAGAAGCATTACACATAGAAAGTGACAACCAGTATTAGCCTATCTAAAAATATACCAAAAAGTAAAGAGCACCAACATAAAGAAGAATTTACATCAATGAATGGATAAAATAGCCAGTTAACATCAAATGGCAGTAACCCTAAATTTAAATAGACTAAATTCCCCAATCAAAAGACACAGCCAAAACCCAATGGCTTGTTACATCCAGACCTGTTTCACATGCAAGGATACACAAAGACTCAAAACAAAGGGATGGAGAAAGATTTAGCAACCAAATAGAGAGCAAAAATAAATAAATAAATAAATAAAAAGCAGGAGTTGCAATTCTCGTATGGGATAACATAGATTTTAAAGCAACAAAGATATAGTGGTAAAAGGATTAATGCAACAGCAAGAGCTAATGATCCTAACACCCAGATACATAGAGTCTTAGATTCAATGAGACAGAAAATTAAGAATATCAAAGACTCGAACTCAGATCCGGAACAAGTAAACTTAATAAATATTTATAGAGCTCTCCACTTCAAATACACAAAATATACATTCTTGTCAATACCACATCACACCTACTCATAGGTTTAAATGAAACATTGATTGGCCATTAGTAATACCCATTTTTTTCAGAATAAAGCAATATATCCGTTCACCCTCTCTCTTTCTCTTCCTCTTTCTTCCTCTCCTTTACTCATTTTTTTTCTTTCCTTCTCTCAAAAAAAAAAAAAAAAAAAAAAAGAAAAAAAAAAAAAGAAATCAACTTGTAAACCTCTAGATCCAGGCTGGCAATGTCTCTCTCATTGCTTGATTTTCTTCCTTCCCTTCCCTTCCCTTCCCTTCCCTTCCCTTCCCTTCCCTTCCCTTCCCTTCCCTTCCCTTCCCTTCCCTTCCCTCTCACCCTCCCTCCCTCCCTCCCTTCCTCCCTCCCTCCCTCCCTTCCTGTCTTCCTCCCTTCCTCCTTCCCTCCCTTCCTGCCTTCCTTCCACCCCACCCCCAAAATAGTCCCTTTTTTCCGCATCCAGGAGGATTCCATTTCTGGATCTCCTTCCATGAGCTCATGGAAGCTGCTCTCTCTCATCTTTTTCTTTCTCCCCTTTATCTCTCTCTCTCTCTCTGCTTAAATAAATCACTTCCTGCAAAACTCTTTGGGGTCCGATATTTACTTAATTGCTCACAGTGCCCTACAAAGTCCTCCCTCCCATTCTTGAATGAATGAGGGACCAAGAGCCTGGAAGAAGACATTCTAGCGGGGGAGCTGAGCCTTCCCAGTGCCCAGGATCCCGGTCTCAGTAGCATGAAATATTTTCCCACTTAACTAGTCTTTATTGTTCCAGGGGGACTATAGTTCACTTTTACCTTTCTATCATTCTCCTGGAGTGTGCTTGTGTTGGATCTGTGTATTGTTCATATTATTGCACACAAGCACGTCTCCAATCTAGTTATAGTCAATGGATTCAAATTAATGATTATTTTAAGTGATTGATGTAATGTTATCTCACATTTGTTTGAATATTTTATGCAGACAGCATGAGTTTTAGGAATATCTATGTAAGTTAGGATTGGTAATTAAGTTGAAACACATGTTATTATTCTACTTATAATTATAATTAAAATATCTTGCTAGTTGAAAAGAATAAGTATGGATAAAATTTCAAATTAAAAGTGAAGGCATACTATTGATACAGAATCCAGTAGTGATAGTAGTACAACTGCTATAGAGCTTTATAGAAAAAAAGAAATTGGAAAAACCTATGTTGCAAATTTCACAGTAACATTTGCAACTGGTTGTGATGAAGTAAAATTAAAAAGATGTTTATTGTGTAAAAAATAATTTGCGAAAGACATGGTGATTTTGGTCTATTAGTCTGTTCTCACACTGCTATAAAGAACTACCTGGGATTGGGTAATTTGTGAAGAAAATAGGTTTAATTGACTCAGAGTCTCTCAGGCTGTACAGGGTCCATGGCTAAGGATGCCTCAGAAAACTTATAATCATGGCAGAAGGTGAAGGGGAAGCAAGCAAAAATTAAAGCTCTTTAGGCCACTGCCTTTAGAATATACAAATTTCTACCAGTATCAAATTTCAATTATTTCAATATTTATAAAATTTAAAATAAGATTAAAAAAACCTTTAATGTGATATAAAACACTGCACAGTTAATACTTTGGATACAGTTTGTCTCAGAAGATTTTCAAATTGACAAAAAAATGTTACCAGGTTATGGCCTTAAATATGAAATTTTTGGCATAGATATCCAACATTTTGTATATCTATCAAAGAAAAGTTTTCAGCTAACATGAAAAATTAGTTTTAATCACAGCAAGCAATGCTCTAGTTAGGTTTGATTTAAAAAATCAAATTTTAAAGTAAATTATTGTTATTTCCCTTATTACTTTGCTCAGTTGAAAGATACATGTTGAAACTATTTTTTCAAGAAAATTGTGCATAGTTTTCTGAAATATATTTTATAAAAATTATCATGGATACGGTTAGGATCATTCAGAATATATAAAACATTGAAAGAAATAGAAAACAATAAATGGTATATAATCAACTTATATTGTTACTGCTTGTTGATTGAGTCATGCAAGAGTTTGACAAAGATGAACTGTACTATTATTCCAGTTCATGATTTTTCTAAACAAAAGGAATATTTTAAAAACGTCCAATAACCAAAGACAAAATGAGAGTGTGAATTTTTTTTCACCAACGCGCACTGAATGCGAATAAGTGAAATTTGAAACTCCAAATAAAAAGAAAAGTTTATTTGTGACTTTGCTGGACAAGTAAAGCTTCAGTTGAAACTGAAGTTTTTCATAATGCAAATCAATAATATCCACCTTACACATTTTTCTAACATAAATCAATATGTCAAGGATCTTAATTATAATTGAGAGTGTTATGTAAGAAAAGAAAAAACATTGAAAAAACGTTTATATATTAATATATTTAGAGTTTTTCAATTTATGTAATTCTTTCGGTTCTGTGTTACCAAAGAATTATTTAATGTGGAAAGAATCTGTCTTGAAACTGATGTGTCTTTGCTTTAGTCAAACCAATTCTTCAAGAACTGAACCAATATTTTCAATGTGGAGGATAATATTAAAGGAAAATGCTTTTTTGTACTCAACTCAGGTATTAGACAAAATGATTGAAACTATTATGTTACTTTGAAATATGTTTGGAATATGTTGGATAACAGAATCAATTTTTCAGTTGTGCATGTTGGAATACCTAAATGCATGTCAAGTATTTTCAATGAAAATTTAGCACCCAAATTGAGATATACTGTAAGTGTTAAGTGCATATTACACTTTGAAGTTTTAGATGAATTATAGGAAGTAAAATATATCTTTCATAATTCCTATATGATTACCTACAGAAATAATAGCCTAAATATTGGGTTAAATAAAATGTATTAATAAAATTAATTTCTCCTATTTCTTTTTCCCCTTTTAATGTGGCTACCAGAAAGTGTAAAATTACATGTGCAGTTTGCATAGATTTCTATTGGACAGAATTGTTCTAAATCTAACCACCATGCACAAAATGTATTACGGGAAAATGTGCTTAGGATCTCGGATTCCTATGTTAAGAACATTTTATTGTTGTCTTTGGTGTGTGTATATTTCTGTGGGTTTAGGTTGAAAACTCCTCAAGGGCAAAATCTATGCTTTATTTTTACATTTTTAGTTTCTATCAAAGTATCTAATACAAAATAGATGATCAATACATATTTTAAAGAAATAGATAAATTGTTAAATGAATAAGTACATGTATGCATGAGCAGTCAGACAAAAGCATGAGTTTATTGATAATAGACTGGATTGGAAAAATGTGGCACATATACACCATGGAATATTATGCAGCAATCAGAAATGATGAGTTTGTGTCGTTTGTAGGGACATGGATGAATCTGGAGAACGTCATCCTCAGCAAACTGACACAAGAACAGAAAATGAAACACCGCATATTCTCACTCATAGGCGGGTGATGAAAAATGAGAACACATGGACACAGAAAGGGGAGTACTAAACACTGGGGTCTATTGGGGGGAAAAGGGGAGGGCCAGTGGGAGGGGGAGGAGGGGAGGGATAGCCTGGGGAGAAATGCCAAATGTGGATGAAGGGGAGAAGGAAAGAAAAGCACACTGCCATGTGTGTTCCTACGCAAATGTCTTGCATGCTCTGCTCATGTACCCCAAAACCTAAAATCCAATAAAAATTAAAAAAAAAAAAAAGCAAATAAAAGCATGAGTTTGTGGTTGCAGGCTAAATGAAACAATAAATCTTAACTATTTGGTGCTTATTGATTAGGAATTTATTCTCCTTCAGCTCCTTCCTATTTCTTCTATTGATTTAAGTTCCCAGGGACAAATGTTCTGACTAGGTTGACCATATGTTCCAGTTTGCTCAGCCATTTTTACTGTTTCCCACCACCTTTGCTTTTCTGTTGTCCATTGTTACTAGATCTCATTCAGCCCACTGGTGAGAGGAGGTTTTTTCATCCTAGGGTTATGGGGATGAGTGTCAAATCCAGGATCTTTGACACTGAATAGATGAGGTTGATAGCAATATTTTACTTATATATACTCATAGCCTCAGGGAGGAGGACACTGGACGCTACACAGAACTACCCTGGCCTGCACTTGGGAACAGAGTGAACAGTCAAGGGATATGGAAGGCAAGCTTTGTAATATGTAGTTGCTATCTGATTCCCAGGGAAGGATGTGCTTGGATTGTTTGAATAATTCTGCAAACTGGCAGAGAACTAAAGCCTGACACTCAGGGATAAGCAGAAAGCGCTCCTATTTCCCCTAATAAAAATTGTTCTGCTAGGTGACTTGATTCAAGAAAGCAAAGTAGTAGGGAAACTTGTAGTTATGCTACTTTCCCTCCAATTTCACCAGATTTCAAGGTAGTGCATAATATTGAGCCTTCATTTTAGACCTTACGAAAACAGCCCCTCTATCAAAAATGTCCTGTTGTAGATTAAAAGCTATATATTTTTCTAGTTATGGATGGATTTCAAAGGACTCATTGATTTCCTTGGGCCAAGGGACAAAATGAAATCACCACATCTAACCTTCTCTGATTTCTACAGGAGGCGCATAAGCACATAAAGATCTTGAAATAGTAAATCTTTTACAACTAATAAAAATAGATAAGGGATTAAAGGTTTCTACTCCTATTTTTGCCTATTGATATTCATCTTTTCCCTTTCTGACATATTGCATTTTCTTTCTTTTTAGACATTAAGCAAAAGGCACAGATGTATTAAGTTGATAATGATATCCTTCATAGACATAAACACATGTAATAAGACTTATTTGTATTTCAAAGCACATTGTGATTTAAAGAGTCAGTTGGAAATCCCGTTCTGAGACTGTAAAATGGGGTCATGGATTATCTTCTTAAGAGATGAGGGATAATGGGAAGCAGAGGCGTTTTTGGAGCAGGGTGTGTGTGAGGAAATGCAAACTTATATTCATCCTATTCTTCCCTTCCTCAGTAGGGATACATGCCGGACTATCAATTAGAAAAATATGACAAGTTTAAACCAGTCTGAGGTAAATGTGACACAAATTGAAAAAAAAAAAAAAAAGAAAACCTATGACTTCAGGAAGGTCTTAGCAGTAGGTGTCACGAAGTAGGAAGTCACAGACTACAGTCTGTGAAAAAGAATGAGAGGTTCTCTGTGGTAGTCACTAAAATACAAAGGACATTTTAAGGTAATTATACATTAACGAGCAACTCATCAACCTGAAAGATATCTTGAATTCTGACTACCATCGTCAAAAGGAATCTGCTTCAATAAACTTAATTGCTTCCACATTAGTAAATAAGTAATAGGATTTATAATCTTAGAATGTTTGAGGCTGAGGTTAACTATTCTCAACTAAAGGTTACAATATCACTTTTCTTTTGAAACAGAGTCTCCCTCTGTTGCCTAGTTAGGGGTGCAGTGGCACATTCTCAGCTCACTGCAACCTCTGCCTCCAGGGTTCAAGCAATTTTCCAGTCTCAGCCTCCCCAGTACTCCAGTAGCTGGGACTACAGACATGTGCCACAGTGTCCAGTTAATTTTTGTGTTTTTAGTAGAGACAAGGTTTCACTATGTTGACCAGACTGGTCTCGAACTCCTGACCTCAGGTGATCACCTTGCCTCAGCTTCCCAAAGTGCCAGGATTACAGGTGTGAGCTACCATGTTTAGGTAGTATCTAATTTCTACAACATATCCAGATTCCAGTATACTAAGAAAACACCTAGAAATAGTAGTGTGCTAAATATTTTCATTAGCATTTTACCATAGAGAGCAACTAATGCTTCTTATTTCAGCTGACAAATCAGAACACACATCTGACCTATTCCCAACTGTGGATAAGTCAATTCTTCAGTGATGTCATGCCTGCAGATGGTAGCTACATACAGAAGGTGGCAAACGTTTTACCGGGGAATGATAGCTAAGTATGATTGTAATGAAGTAGAGCAAGCTGGGGTGCCTTTTAAATTTAAGAATATTCATGTGAATCACAAAGTCAGGAGTTTGAGACCAGCCTGGCCAATATGGCGAAGCCCCATCTCCAGTAAAAATACAGAAATACAAAATTTAGTGAAGCGTGGTGGAGTGTGCCTGTAGTCCCAGTTAGGAGGCTGAGGCAGGAGAATTGCTCAAACCTGGGAGGTAGATCGTTGCAGTGAGCCAAGATCGCACCACTGCACTCTGACCTGGGCAACAGAGTGAGACTTCATTTCTAAAAAGAAAAAAAAAGAATATTTAGAATGTTTCAAACTTAGGTGGATTGAAAGGTAAAGGCATGTCTTTGAAAAAGTAAATGAACAATAGAAGAAACAAGTTTTGGGAAGAAAATGAAGATTTATTTTGAGCCATTTAGTTAATTCATACTAAGTATCAAATACTGTCATACACATTATTATTCTTTTTGAGACCGAGTCTCACTCCATTATCCATGTTGGAGTGCAGTGGCATGATCTCTGCTCACTGCAACCTCTGCCTCCTGGGTTCAAGAGATTCTTGTGCCTCAGCCTCCTAAGTAGCTGGGATCACAGTTGTGAGTCACCACACCTGGCTAACTTTTGTAGTTTTAGTAGAGATGTGTTTTTCTCCATTTTGGCCAGGCTGGTCTCCAACTCCTGACCTCAAGCCTCCCAAAGTGCTGGAATTACAGGCATGATAAATATAATATGGGACCGAGCCAACATTATATTTATTAACTCATTTAATCCTCATGAAAGCTTATGGAGTAAGTACTGTTTTTATTCTTATTTTACAGTTGAGGAAGTTAAGATTAATTTGAAGAATGGAGGTCCATGAGTCTGGGTGTGTGTGTGTAATTAGAAAGTGAGGGTGGCTCCATATATGCTATTGAAAATTAATTTTATTTTTAAGTTTTCACCTATGAGCACATTTAAAAATAACTTTTGCTTTAGACCATATGTTATTTCCTGTTATTTAGGGTTCTTTTGAAGTATATGGCTCAATTTTAAAAAAAATTTTTTATTGCATTTTAGGTTTTAAGGTACATGTGCAGAACATGCAAGACAGTTGCATAGGTACACACATGGCAGTGTGATTTGCTTCCTTTCTCCCCTTCACCCACCTTTGGCATTTCTCCCCAGGCTATCCCTCCCCAGCTCCCCCTCCCGCTGGCCCTCCCCTTTCCCCACCAATAGTCCCCAGCGTTTAGTACTCCCCTCCCTGTGTCCATGTGTTCTCATTTTTCATCACCTGCCTATGAGTGAGAATATGTGGTATTTCATTTTCTGTTCTTATGTCAGTTTACTGAGAATGATGTTCTCCAGATTCATCCATGTCCCTACAAACGACACAAACTCATCATTTCTGATTGCTGCATAATATTCCATGGGGTATATGTGCCACATTTTCCCAATCCAGTCTATCATCAATGGGCATTTGGGTGGATTCCAGGTATTTGCTATTGTAAACAGTGCTGCAATGAACATTCGTGTGCATGTGTCCTTATAGTAGAACGATTTATAGTCCTTTGGATATATACCAAGTAATGAGATTGCTGGGTCAAATGGAATTTCAATTTCTAAGGCCTTGAGGAATAGTCACACTGTCTTCCACAATGGTTGAACTAATTTACACTCCCACCAACAGTGTAAAAGTGTTCCTTTTTCTCCACATCCTCTCCAGCATCTGTTGTCTCCAGATTTTTTAATGATCGCCATTCTAACTGGCGTGAGATGGTATCTCAATGTGGTTTTGATTTGCATCTCTCTGATGACCAGTGATGATGAGCATTTTTTCATATGTTTGTTGGCCTCATATATGTCTTCTTTCGTAAAGTGTCTGTTCATATCCTTTGCCCATTTTTGAATGGGCTTGTTTGATTTTTTCCTATAAATCCGTTTGAGTTCTTTGTAAATTCTGGATATCAGCCCTTTGTCAGATGGATAAACTGCAAAAATTTTTTCCCATTCTGTTGGTTGCCGATTCACTCTAGTGACTGTTTCTTTTGCCGTGCAGAAGCTATGGAGTTTGATTAGGTCCCATTTGTCTATTTTGGCTTTTGTTGCCAATGCTTTTGGTGTTTTGTTCATGAAGTCCTTGCCTACTCCTATGTCCTGAATGGTTTTGCCTAGATTTCCTTCTAGGGTTTTTATGGTGAAAGGTCTTATGTTTAAGTCTTTAATCCATCTGGAGTTAATTTTAGTGTAAGGTGTCAGGAAGGGGTCCAGTTTTTGCTTTCTGCACATGGCTAGCCAGTTTTCCCAACAACATTTATTAAACAGGGAATCCTTTCCCCATTGCTTGTTTTTGTCAGGTTTATCAAAGATTGTATGGTCGTAGATATGTTGTGTTGCCTCTGATGCCTCTGTTTTGTTCCATTGGTCTATATCTCTGTTTTTGTACCAGTACCATGCTGTTTTGATTACTGTAGCCTTGTAGTATAGTTTGAAATCTGGTAGTGTGATGCCCCCTGCTGTGTTCTTTTTGCATAGAATTGACTTGGCTATGAGGGCTCTTTTTTGGTTCCATATGAAGTTCATGGTGGTTTT